CATATTATATAATTATATATTATACATATTATATATACTGTACCAGTATCAAAGTGGCAAGCTCAAAAAAAAAACCAAACCACTTCTGAAAAGTGCTACTGATTTTTACCCATATAACGCAGAAGAAAAAATTAACCTTAAAACATGTTTACTTTATACAACAATCTGTTATTCAAGGGGTTTATTTGGGGTTTTTTTCAGATTAAAAAGAGTCTTCAAGAAAACCCATGAGGTGCAAAGAAACACTGAAAAATTCTCGTCTACCTTGATGCCATCTTTAGGCTCCTGCTTGTGCAAGCGTGTGAAGGAGAGCGCTGAAATTCATGGCTGTTGGCACGGTCAGTACTGAGGAATCCCAACACAGGATTAAAGAGTTTCAGTCCAGGATTTCAACTTCTAAATACTCGCTACGAGGTGTCGGACTTCATTCCTGTGAGCTGTGCCCAAGATTTGGAAGCAACAGCTATACACCGATCTGTAGAATGGCAATAGAGCTCTTTGCCCTTTTAATATTTAAAGTAATGTGTGAGGGGTAGAAAGCAAAGTAATAGTACTGGAGACAACTCACCAAGTAGTAATGTACAACTTTAAGAGTCCGACGACATTTTTTACAAAATCCTAAACTAACAGAGCTGCCGATCCTGTTGAGTGTGTCGTGAGTTCTGCTCACTCACTGAGGCAGGTGGCTTGGAGGTGAATGCAAAGTGAGCTGGGTATATTAGTTTTCACCTGGAACATGACTAGAAAGACTTCACTTCTTCTGCTGACAGAAGGAAATCTTTTTCTCCAGCATCTTTCAACACAAGTATTTAGTCTTTTGCCCAGCAAATGATAGGCAACAATCTCTGAAGACACAGTTGCCTTAGAATCTGTCTACCCGTTCTTCACACCTTCGTTTGCCTCAATTTGAATTTGTCCTGTATCTTCATTTTCTCAGAATAAAGTATTTAAAATTACATGTCACATGCCAATCTTGACCATACAAATACAGAAATTAACCAATAATTATAGTTTAATTGGAGAAGAAGAGCAGAAAAATTACATATGTCTGTGCAGCAGAAATCATTATCTTAAAAGTTAGTCCAAGCTAGTAATGGTAAGTACACCGTAGCCTCTGTTTTATTGTTTTATTTAGGTTTCAAATATTTTTTTTTAAAAAAATCAATGTATTAAAACAACTATATTGCAGTTTTTGAAAGCACTACTTGCATACTCAAGTCAGTCCTACTACTTCTCAATGTGTTTATTACCCAAAATCCTGTAATCAAAGGCCATTAAAACACCTAGAATGATTTTATGTGTGCTTGCCATTACCCATTTATTAATCAGTTCTGCCCAGTCTCCAACAAATTGCTGTAAAATCTTTGTAGCAAGCCCAGTGAAATGCAAGTCATGAGACACAAATACAAGTACTTCATATGCTGAAGCGTTCTTATTGCTAATATTACAGCCTTAGAATAGCTGAAAAAGAGGTTTTACGCAATGCTACACATACCTTTCTAAACAACAAAAAAAAAAATCAGAAATAGATCCTAAAACCATACATTAATACACTGAGGGGGGAGGTGGGGAAAGCACAATACTGTGAAGATCACCGTATGATCAATATTACCTCATAGAGCAGGCAGCCTAGAGACCAGATGTCAGATTTGAAGTTGTAACCATTTTCGTGTATTCTCTCTGGAGACATATAATAAGGTGTACCCACTGCAAAAAAAACACAGGCATTTTTGAATTAAAATTGTTGTTATATAGCACGAAAAGCACAGTTTTCACGGCAGAAAAATATTTCTCATCTTCTCTATTTTGTCATTTGGTTACACATATAATTTCAATTCATACTTACGATGCTCCAGTTTGTTAGAACTACACATGAATTAGATATCTATTTTATCCAATGCAGCTTTATTTTCACTACTACCTGATTACTCAGTTGTAGAATAATTTCAATTTTTGCTTTTAAAGAAGCTCAGAAGTAATTATTTTCTTCTGAAGAGGACCAAAGGAACTTACTTACACACTTACAGTTACCACTGTGGCTGGAAATAACAACAGCCAAAAATTCCCTTCCATGGCTTGAATTTTTTTTTATTTTTCCTCAAATGAATTGTCTGTTCCTCCTTTTGAGAAAATACAGATCTGAAGAAGCTGCTTTTGAAACTAATGAACACGATTTAGAGTAACTGAGACTAAAATTGGAAAACTGAAGATCCTGGATTTTATAATCAGAGAGGAAGACAAGAAAATCTGTGAGCCCAGCAGAAGCTGAGGTTCCTACGCCCATCTGCTGCAGGACTAGACCCTGCAAGGGCTTTTTAGCTCCCGAATCTGCGGCTGTCCCAGCTTAATCCTGTCTCAGAGCTGTGGGCTCTAGAGACAGCTGCTCTTCAACAGCATTTACTAGGACCGTCCCAAAGCAAATTTACATTGGTTACTCCAGGACGCCTGATTTTAATCAGACCCTCCCCATCTGTGTCACAAGTTAGTTGGATGAGAAGAATTCTGAGAGATGTTTCAGCTTTGTAAAAAAAAGCCATTAAAAAAGATAAAAGTATCTGAGTGATGACTTCATATGTGACACATAAACAAAAAAAAGAGCTTAAAAAAATAACAATAGCGATGATTTTGGTGTACTGTCTCTGAACCCCTTATAGCTCCCCAAAATGACTGCCTAAGAGCAAAGAGGGTACAGAGCTATATAGATTTTTACTTCAATTTTGTGTGGAATATTCTCTTAAGCACTGAATCCTGACAATGAAAACCAACCACATTCTGTCAATTCACTACAACTTGACCTTATTTCAAAACTAAACATCTTGCAATGCGGCCAGAGATTAAAATCAGCAGCATCATTGCAAACTACAAAAATGAAGAGTATAAACTTCACTTATTTAACACAAATATCTTGTATCGCTTCTGAATCAACCCCATCTATTCAGAATCCACCTCTCTACAAATACTAAACCACAGAGATGTGGTTCAGGATTCACAAGTATACATAAGTAATTCCAATATACATAAGTAATTCCAAATAATCAGGTTAATAGTTTTAATCCTATTAATAATTTTAGTCTTAATTTCTAAAAAGCTAAGGGTTTTTGCTTTGACAATGTGCCGTACCTTGTAGAAAGGCTGACATCTCAAACCACGTCCTATTTCTTGGGTGTTCAGCACACTAAAATCCCAGGAGGGAGGTTTCCAGCCCCGGGAAAGCTAAGGGTGCTGCAGCCCCTCCACCGAGAGACTGAGGAATCACTGCAGCTCTAAACTGAGACCGCGACGGACCACGAGCTTAGCAGCAGACAGGCTGGGGAAAGGCAACTCCAAGTGACCGAGTCCCATGAAAACCATTTAGTCTCACGGGACGTTCGTATTCCCCCACAGCAGAGGAATGGTCAGGAGGGGTGGTCTTCTCCCTGTGGAAGAACTAGCTACTAGAACATCCAGAAGCAACTCTATTGTTCTAATCTATCAACAACAGTACTTAAACGCACGTTAATGACAGCTATCTTAAAAAACGAGGAGGAAGTACAGCAGTAAGGATAATAAAAATACAAAAGCAGTGTCATGCCAAATGTTGTTTAATCGCAGTTTCTGATTTTAATTTATTTTTACCCCACGAACTTATGAGCTTGGATGCTTCTGAAAACTTTCAGCCCTATTTTGCATCCGTTAACGCCCTGGTTTAGTATATTCTGGTGCTTTGTTGGCAGAATTCATCTACCAACAACTTTAACAGTAACCCGATTCTCAGCTGGCCACAGCAGCACTGCCTTTGCTGCTCTGAGATATCCTCACGCCGTAGCTGGCGGTGAGTAATGTGCCAGAAAGAGCCTTCACGGAATCCACAGGGGGCAGCTGAAAACACGAAGGTTTGAAGGTTCACTGTTCACCAAAAGCAAAGGTAATTTCAACCAGTAGCTCTGGGAAGCCTGCTGATACATTAGGGGTCTGATATGACTGTGAAGATTGATGACAGTGAAAAGGAAGAACAAATGCTACCATTTTACAGCATTTAGCCTAGTCTAACACTTTAACTACAACACAACCCGAAGTCCCCAATGACCAACAAGTGAAAGAAATTGAAATCACACTTAGGTTAGTCACGGAATCACAAAAATAACCTGAAGATCTAAAGATCGGTATTACTTGCAAACTGTTTTTAACAAAACACGACACAAAAGATTCAACACTCTGCCATTCAGGAGCTACTGAAGGCATTGCAACGTTCTTTAAAACAGTGGCCAACCTCAGTATGCAGCTGTACTGCTGGCAAGCAATTACCTGATGTGATTATACGTTATGTTTCCTTCATGGATTTTATTTTTTTCTCTCCTGTTTAGTGAAACACAGCATCACAATACACATGCAACTTTCTTTACTCATCCGAAGACATACAAGTGGGATAACACATGACACATCCTGGATAACCCACAGGTCTGAAGAGTAACCTCCTTGACAATGGCCTCGGTCAAATAAACTGCTTCCTCAGAACCTGCTGCTGCTCTGGAGCTCCCTCCCTTTAAAGATGCTGCAGACCCAGAAAGTGCTGTTCCTTTACACAAGTTTTCTGCTATTGGGAGAGGCAACGGACATAATGGAAACGGTGGTTATTAGGAAGCAGGAAGCTGGATCTGAAGGATCAGAGGCAAAGAAACCATTATGAAGAGGGGACCTACGTTATAATGTCTTACCTGCATTAACTCAGCTGCAGTGTGAGTTACGTGTTTAAGAGGAGAGTGTGTTCACCTAAAAACTGGCACTGCATGGAGGAATTGCACAAAATACGGTAACTAGCTCTAAGTACTACCAAGCATTTTTAGAATGGGAGAAAAATCTGCCTGGTGAGTGTTACTACTACTTATACAAAACAACAGAATGGCTGACTCAGGAGGTGTTTAATAGACTAGTTTTTAAAAGGGTCACATAATTATCACTAACGTTCCATGCCCTGGAAAAACATAACTATCAGAGTTGAGAAAGGGGGCTAAGTGCGTGCCAAGTGCGTACAAGATGAACGGCTGATGCTGAAGATAGAGAAGCCAAGTTACAAATAAGCTGCAGTTACGGAACAGTGAGGGTAACCAACCATTGACATGAAAAAGTAAAAAAGAAAATAAAAATATAGTTATGGAGAATTTGTCAATATAGGTGTAGGAGATTTCTAAGTTCTAGGCTCACTTTCAACTGCAGATATAGGACCTAAAATATTACGCTTAACCCAAACTCATTCCACAACCTAGCCACCCATTATGCAAATAGTCTAACAGCAGAAATCAATCTATAAATATTTTAGGTCCTTTTATAACGTAGCATTGTAACAACACGATCATTTTTTTTCAGCTTTCAAACTACTGTAAGAGATCTCAGGTTTCTGTACATAAAATAAGAGCTGTTTTAATAGAGCTTCTTCGACGAATGAGAAGAACCAGCTGCAGATTTCCCTGCCAGCCTTCCTGAGGGTGCAGGGTCTCCTCCACTTTCAAGCATTTTAGGAGAATTGCAGATCTGCTCCTTTACCCTACACATCACGGTAGCAGTGCGGGCCTGGACAGCACACTGCATCCTTCACACTGGGGAACTCAAGTTATTTTATTTGTTCTCATCTGAATACTGAAGTATGGATTATCCTTTGGCTAACAAAGATTTAAAAAATGCACATTTCCACGAGCTGGCCTCCGAATTGCCATTTCATCAAAGAACATAAGGCCTGGCATCCAGCCATAAAAAATTAAATAAATCCAACAACCAAAAAAAAAACTACCTCCCACCAATGTAACTCATGGAGTCATAGGAATAAGAAGCTTTTCTTGGATCATCTTCCCCTTTCTAATGTAAAAATCTTCGGAAATCAAAAAATTTTGTCAAGGTGGTATCAAATAAACAATACTATATGTCTCCACTGCCTTTGTATTTTAGAAGATTTTGTTTTCAAACAGGTACATAAATGCCACAACAGAAAATTCTACTCTTTTGATAAGGCTGTGCAGAAAGAGTTAAGAACATTAACAAACCCTGCCCAGCGCAGTATTTTCATTTGTTTCAGATGGACCATCAGCAACTATTCCAATTAAAGCAGTATTATTCATAATTAGCAGTGAGAAGCTGTAGCTAATGAAAATTTTAGTACATTTCTTTATCTCTGAAAGCCTGAATCTAGTTTGCTACTGAAATTTTTATAAAGCATGTAAACAAGTATAAATTGCTACACATAATATGTTCGTAATTCACTCGGTTTTGCACACCAAAAGGTTTAGGGAATCATAAAAAGATAGACCTTCGAAAGAAATTTCAGGAAGAATCAGCATCAGAAACTGCATGAGAAATTAAATTTTAAAAGTAGTCTCCGCTTGTAACATGATAGAGCAGAGTGTAGCCCAAGTTAAAAGCTGAGCCCAAGCCAAACCAACGCCCAAGTTAACCTGGCTAGTTCCTAGGTTGAATTCTGACATTAGGTCATAATTAAAAAGGAAATCAGAGAATAGATGGGGAAGAAAAAAAAGAAGAAGAAAAAAAAGTAACAGCTCCTCTACCAAGATACAGGCACGAGCTAGTACCAGACCTTTTGGGTTAGATCTGAACTTTGATTTGGTACCCAAGCACATTTCCAGTCTGCTCTTCCTGTTCCTCCTCTGCCTCTTTCCCTTTTTTTTTATTAATGAGGGATGGCACATCTGTGAGTTTCACCTCAGCCCTATTAAGATCTCAGCAGTTACTCATGGTTTTGAATGTACAGGTATCAGTACACACCAAACGTGACAAAAACAGGAAGGCATAGAAGAGTGACTAAAGGCTTTCTGAACAGTGAAGTAACACATTAAAAAAAATAAAATCAAAAAATAAAAAACTTCCTTTCTAAAATAGCATTTTTTTGGCTGTTAGTACAAGTATCACCCAAACCTCAAATGTGGTACAAACACACTGAACGTCAGCCCTGTCTTTTTTTCCCCACACTTTACTGATAACTGGGACTACCTGAACAGAGTTAAATTAAGAGCTGGGAATAAATATGGCATATTTTAATCCAAGAAGCCTGATATTTCATAATCTAATTAGAAACATCAGCACCTGAGCAAATACAATTCTTTGTGTGTTCTCCCATGGCTCTAAGATCAGGATTGCAACTATTAACAATTCTTGGCTTTCTTAGATATTGTATTGCCTATCGGATGCTATTGTCAAGCATATAAAAATATCCAAATACCTAATTACAGAGCTGTTGCTGACATTGGTTTAAAATTCTCACTGGGGAGCATGTGAAGTGTTTTTAGAGATCTGTATTCAAGTGTCGGTGAGGTGCTCTGCCTGCCTCTATACCCTTTGCCAGGAACAGGAGACAACTCTGTACGCTGCTGTCAACAGCCCCACTCTTGAGGGGTCTAAAAAGCTCATTTCAAACCCTCTGCAAGCACTGAACAGGCTTGAATTTAGCCACCACTAAACCCAGCCACTTCAGTGAGTGAAATGAATTTTTTTCTTAACTAAAAAACCCTACATAACCATACTAGAAGCACTAATTCTTACATCTGTCTTGAAGAGATCCTCTTAGATTCTGTTAGTTGTCCATTCCCTATATTTAAACTTAAAATATCTGACAAATTTCTAGTTTTTCTTCATTACAGGCTTATTCATCACCCTAGTCTCCACATCCTACTCAAAAGATACAAAGTGTGTGAAAATTTTGTTAGGAAAAATATAATACAATTTACGTGCTAGCAAAAAGTAAAGGGCATTTCAGCAAGTTTTTTTTCTATTTTCAGAAAAGTAAGTTTGCCGAGATCTGGTTTTGTCATTGAGTTTGGGTTTTCAGTTTTGTTTTTCAAATCTTTATGGTTCATAAAGCCTAATTCTGATCTCTCTTAGCTTATATTGAGGTATTCCACCTTAAAACAGCGCAGCTCCTCTGTCAGTCCTTTCGAGGCGTATAACCAACATGACTTCAGGGACGTCCATACAGGCAGACAGAATTACTTGATACTTTCCATTATTCATTAAAGTTTGAAAGAATTTTAAGAAAAGTGTATCCGTATTATTGATCTTATTTTTTCCAGCATTTCTAGAGAATGCTACTATCATGAAGACCCGTTTTGAGGTAGGAATGTACATCAAATGATTCAAACAAATGGGGAAAAAAAGCCAAATGAAGAACAACAACAACAACAAAAATTCCAACCCCAAACAACAAGCTATCCTAATGTCTCAGTGTGACAATATTTATCCATGGCACTGCTGATTATTTTTATTATTACTACCACTACTAGCTTTTGCTGGACCTAACTCTCTTCTTCCTCCTCTCGAGTGGGTACAGTATATCCACTACGTAAAAAAAAAGAAAAAAAAAGATATAAATCATCTCCCCAACACCTGTATCGTAGAGAAACCTTACCTAAAGAATGTGCAGCTGTGGTTTTGGAGCTGAAAAATCGACCAAGTCCGAGGTCACCAAGCTTTACTACTCCTGTAGCTGTAATGAACACATTAGCTGGTTTTATATCTGGGAAAAAAAATAAACATAAAAATCTAGAAGTCACAATGAGGTTGCAAGAAAATCTACTGTTCTTTTAAAAATAGACAAGAAGAGGCTTTTATTTACAGCTGATATTAATAAAATTTGACTACGCTGTTCAGAAAGAGCGAGTTTGGGATTTGGAATTTCAAATTAAGAATTCTCATAGTACAAACGTCACTCAAGCAAAAAAGTAAGAGCCATGGAAAGTATTTTAATAAAAAGTAAAATAAGAAAACAACAAGCAAACAAGATCAAGGAAAAAAGAAAAGGAAAATCCACACATCCCAAGAAGCATATAGAGGCAAGTCATTACTACTTTACATAAGCTATATATAAGGACTTGTTTTAGAACTAGAAAAACTCTCATTATGTTTTAAGGAGCACACCAAAAATGTTTTCAAGAACTGCAAAACTATATTTTTCTTATTTCTTGCTGATGAGACTACCCCCAGTGGCATGATGCTATTTATTTGAAATAGGTAACCTGACACTCTTTAATAGCAAGCATTAAAAAAAAACAAAAAAGATGCAAGTTTTACTCAGGAGAATGGTTATTGGAACTCATCAGTGGAATCGGGCTAATCAAGCAGAAACAAAGGAAAACAGCAAAGAATACCCCAGACAGTTATTTTTCACAAATAATCCTGAGTTTAAGTTTTAATTCAGTCCTTTAGAGACAGCAGCAAAGATTTTAATTTCATGATTTTTAACAAGGCACCTACATCGTTAAGTTTTCTAAATAAGCTGACCTGATATTGGTTTGGCAAGCGTGCGGAGCTTACACAGCTCCGGAGCAACGCACTGCAGCTCTAAATCTGAAGAAAATCACTTAACTTTGCTAAGAGGGGATTACAGTTTGCCTAAGATATGGGTACAGTAAAAGGAACGGTTAATAACGCTTCAGTCACCAGCATTTTCAGGCTTCCAGTAAGAAGTTACAAAACCTTAATGAGCCTTAGAGAGGAAGACAGAAGCAATTATGTTATTAGATCTAATTTTCAGGAGTTTGGATTACCAATACAACACAGATACCAGCTCAACTTAAGAACAGCTTTAATTGTCCTTAGGTTGTGCGTAACCATGGAGTTGTTAGATTGCCATGGCTTTGCCAGAAGGAGCTAAAATACACCGAAATAAAATAGCGTAGTCATAAAAGCATTAAAGGAAGATACTTGTACAGAAAGAATCTGTAATTTTATGTCCTTAGTGTAACTTGCACTTGAAGGTATCTGTACAAATGCATAAAGGGGAGGGGGAAAAAAACAAAAACAAACAGGAGAATCACAAAGGCAAGTCATTTGCAGGGGCAGAGCCATCGAAGCTGATCTCCTGAAGGGTGCAAAATCTCTAGCTGCAATAGCCAAAGCTCAGCAGAGCTCGAGGGACTTGTGCTTTCAGACACTATTTGCATCCCAGCAGAAGGAAGCCACTATCAACCCAGAGAGATTTCCAATTTAGGGAAAAAAAAAAAAAAAGTAAAGAAAAGGTACGTCTGAGAAGCAATCTGATCTGTTTACTTGAACATACCTGGTGGAAGCTGTCAAGATTGGTTCCATTATGATATTACTCGGTGTCACTCACATTCAACCGGTGTAATTCTCACATAGTAAAAGGTTTAGTAAAGACAAATCATCTCTGAGCCTTTATTACCTCTGTGCATAACGCGACGAGAATGCATATGTTCCAAGGCACTGCAAAGCTGCACAAAGTACTTCCAAACGGTTCTTTCGGGGATCAACCTCTTCTGTTTCTTAAAGTGCTTCAAGAAAGAAAGGATGGACACTGAGCAATAAAATTTAAAATTCGCATAAAATGACTGAGAAAAGTTAGAAAATCCTTTATTTAAAAATCAAATACAGAGGGCTCACAACCTAACGAGAAAGGTTTAAGAACATCTTTTGACACAGAAAGCCTTTCCCTTAAATATTAAAACATGTATCATCAATGTATGTGTTCTGACAAAGAGCCACAAATGGCACTGTTGAAATAAAACTGCTACCCAATGAAAGCATTTATATGGTATTTGGCAATCCTCAGTGCAGGTTCAGTGTGGTCAGAACAGTCTAACAGAAAGTAAGTGGCCACAGAACAAATAAAAGTCAGATATAAAAAACTTCCCAAACAAAATACTTCCTTACACTGACATTGTCCATATCCTCATTTTCTAAGCAGAAAAAAAAACAATCACAATGACACAATCACAAACAGATCACATAAACGTCAATCAGATTAGTCTTAGAAACTTGTGCAATACAGAAAAGGGGACTAAAGGAACTATGATTTCTGAAAACTTCATGATCTAACTCCTCCTCAAGTATTTTTCATTCTGTATAAACAACCATTACTGGTCACCGGTAACAGTTCAACTGCCTGTTAAAGCTTGCATGAAACATAATTATGCTCAGCTCCATACATCTTCAAATATTATATTCGGGGACTGGTGTAACACAGTTTTCCAAAAACACACAACCTAAAACCTGGAATTCAGCCAATGCTAAAATGTGCAAGTTTGATCTTGATAAATTTTGCAGCTAAAGGTAAGAAGACTGAAAAAACGTCACTCGTTCAGTCTTTCTTTTAAACAATCTCTAACTTGATAGATTTTAAAGACATGAAGAAGATACGTGAACAACATTACTTTTAGCAAAATTCTATATGGAAAGCACAGTACTCGTGTATTTTAATAGTGTGTGTACACACTCACTTCACCGTGCGCACCCTAAGAAAGTTCACATAACAAACACTTGCTACCCTGGAAAAATAAAAATATTTTCCCATACTATGTTAAAATGTGCCACTGAGAAGGTGACAGCTGCATCTACACATTGCAGAGACAAGCAGGAGTATGAGAAATAGGTTTTAAACTACCAGCAGCAAAATGCATCAGTCATACAAAGGAGCATAACATTTCACCAAAATGTTTTTAGTTACAGGGATTATTTCAAAATGCATTTTCATTTAAATGAGGCAAAGCATATAAATTACTTCTTCAAATATAATTTTCTCTCAGTCTTGGACTGAATCCAAACAAACCCTGTGTATCTGTTCTCCCCATAGCTGGATTTGCATATCAGAGGATTGTTTGATGTCAACAGGAAGATGGAGACCAGGTTTCTTTTAATTTAGAAACAAATACACAATATATCTAAGCATGTGCACATGAAAGCAGAGCTCCTTGATTTAAAATGCATTCTGAAATTATCATAATTATAACTAGGTACTCTATTTAAACATTCTGAATTTTTTTTTTTCCCTAACTCAAATCATAGCACAAGCAGTGATGAAACATCATTCACAAAATGCCTGAAATGGAAAGACCTTCCATTACGGATTTCCATCCTGAGGTACTTACAGGACATCGGTGTACTTTCCAAGTATTAATGTACAAGTTGCCTTTCAACATTTTATTCATTTGCCTGATTGCACACTACAAATTCAGCTTCAGTTCTTACAGTGCAGGCATGAAATCACAATAGTTTTTAAGACATAGCCTCATTTTGACAGCATTAATCATTTTGCATGATAACAACTTCTCTTCCTGAAAGCATCGACTGTATTACTAACCCTGTAGAATTTGCCCCTCTAAAAAGGATGCAACAGAGCTGCTAGATTCACTAACAATGTTTAAACTAAACATATAGGCACCATTTTCACTTGTATAGGTTTAAAAATAATCCTATTATCATCAAAAGAAACTCACTGAACATTCTTCTGTGCTGTAATTAATTACACTATTTTCTTCAATCAAAAAATACATATTCTCAGTGTTTTCTTGGGTTCTCATCCAATAATAGCCGAAATAGCGATGAAAAGCCTCCACTACCAAAAAAAAAAATAAAATAAATTTGATTTTGCAAAAGTAGCTACTGAAACAAGTTTCATGTTTCGGGGAAACAGCCCAGCAGGCGGTGGTAATTCTGAGAAAACTCAATAACGGAAAGGAATCCCAT